CCGCGGTCCCGCGCATGGCGGCCAACGTCGACACCGACGGCCGACGGCGCGAGCGTCGCGTCAGGCATGACGGTCCGCGCAATCGCGCTGCCACCACCGTCCCCGACGCTGCGTTCCGCGTCGCCCGGATCCCCACCCGCCAATCCCGCCGCCGACGAGTCGTGGACACGCGCTTCGGCATCCACGACCAACTCGTCGCGCGCCTCGCTCTCCCCGCGCCCACGCACGCTCGACTCGGACCCGGCCCCTCCTCAACCGCGCACATTGGCCGACGCTCTGGCTGTCATTACCGACTTGCGTGCGCAACTCGCCGGCGCGAAAGCAGCCGCGTCGATCGCAGCGTGTCCCGTCGCGGGTCGGCGCACCCCGTCGCCGCGGCCGATGCCGGCGGTAGCCCGTGCGCGGCGCGTGGTGACGTGGATCGCGCGGCATGTTGGCGTGGCAGTGATTTTGGCCGTGGTGCTGGCGGCGGTGATGCGCGTCCTGCGGCGGCGGCAGAGCCCGGCGTACGCATGGGCGGTGGTCGCAGTGCGTGCCGTCGTGGAGGGGTAATAATTTTGGACGCGATGGGAATGGAGAGAGCGGCTACGGCAGCACGCAAGTTTTGGACAATGCTTTGGTTCATGGTGAGGACGAGGTGGAGAAAGATCTCGCGCCAGGGTCAGGGTCAGAGGCAAACGAGACATGCTCGTGTGCCAGGGCAAAGGAAAGCCGTGGATTTCCCGGCCACCATCAAATCTCGCTCCCGTCCCGACAACGACAACGACCGCCTGGCCGCATTGCATCGCCATCCCACGACACGCGCAACTTGCAGCAAAGTGCGCGCCGCGCGCCACCGCTCTTGTGGACGCTCCCCGCCGCGTCCCACGACCGGGCCCCCTCTCGCGCGCTCGCTCCATTGCTTGACCAACAATCGACCGACCGGCCGACCAATCCACGTCCTCCTCGAACGCCAAGTCCTTCCGCCGGCTCTCTCTCGCACCGCATCGACGTGACCGCGCGCTCAGCATGACCGAGTCCGACGCGCCGCAAGCGCAAGCGCCGCAACCGGCCGCTGCCGCGGGGAACACCGACTCGCAGCCGCCCGCCGCGGCCGGCACCGTCGACGTGGCCCCGTACCTCGACTTGCTCGCGCGCGACCCGACGTTCCTGAACCGGTTGCTCGACGCTGCGCAGCACCAGCAGCAGCAGACGACGCCGCCGCCGCCCGCCGGTCCCGCTCCCGCAATGGCCCAACCAAGTCCGCACGACCGCGCGCTCCCAGCCGTCCCCACCGCGACCGCATCGGCCTCCCCACCCGCTCTGGCGGCGACCGACGGCGCCGACGACGACTGGCCGTGTCAGTGGACCGGGTGCACGCAGCGGTTTGCCGACTCGGACGGTCTATTGCAGCACCTCGACGCGGACCACATTGGCCGCAAAAAGCTCGGCAACTTGTGCCTCGAATGCAAATGGGTCTTGCCCGACGGCCAGGTCTGCGGCGTGGCCAAGACCAAGCGCGACCATATCACGTCGCACCTGCGCGTGCATATTCGCGCGCAGCCGCACGTGTGCGAGGTACATACGCTCGCTCGTTCGGGGTGGTGGTGGAGACAATGCCCGGCGCGGTTGCTCACGCGTCTTGTTGGATGGCCAGATTTGCCAGCGCCGGTTCAAGCGCGACTACGACCTGCGCAAGCACGAGCGCTCGCACGCGGCCGAGTCGTCGACGACGAATCGCGGCGTCGTGGACGAGAGCAGCTGCACGCCGTCGCTGTTCAAGCAAATGGAAAAGAAGATGACCGACCAGTTCAAGGCGCTCTTGCAGTCGCATTTCCGGTCGTCTGGGTCCACTTCGTCGCGGTCAATGTCGTCCAAGGGATCCTCGTCGAGCTCCAGCTCGATGCACGGCAACTCGACGTCGCCGTCGCCCGCGGCACACGCGACGTCGACGACGACGGCGACGACGACGGGCGCGGCGAGCGCGGCGGGCACGCAGTACGCACAGGTACGTGCACGCGTTTTTGGTTTGGCTTGGCGCGGTTTTGTGGGGGGTGGGCGTGATGGACTAACGTAACGTCGGGGGTAATTCATTAGGACGGGCTCGCCGATTTGCTCGGCCCGGCAGTCGGGGTCCCGGCGATCACGGCGCCGCTGCCGGGATCGAGCATGTCCCCGATGAATCTGGGCCCGATGGGTATGTCGTGACCTCACGCGCGATCGCCCTTTGCCCTGGCGCCCTGGCACTAACGCTGAAATAACCCGCCAGGGCCCGCATCAACCACCTCGCCCATGGCGCACGTGTCACCGCCCATGGCCGTGAGCCCGTACGGGTCGTCGACGACGACAACGACCAAGTCCATGTCCCCGGCCAACCTTGGCACCAAGCGGCCGGCGCTCGACGATCTCGACCAGTTCCTCGAGGACATCAAGCGGCAGCGCGTCGCGCCCGTTTACGACGAAAGTACGTTCCCGCACTGCGCCCGCCCTCCCTCTCTTTTTTTTTTTCGCTTGCCCTGGCATTCCCACGCTTCTTCCTTTGACCGCCCGGCTGATCACTCCTTCCCTCCCCCACAAATAGCCCTGATGGCCGCGCTCGACACCCTCCCGCCCGTCCCCACGGACGACCCGACCGCCCTGTCGCTGGACATGGACCCGACCTCCCTCTCGACGGTCCTCGCCTACCTCGACACGCTCGACGCCAACATGATGCTCGATGCCGAACTCGCCAACCTGCTCGCGACAGACCCGCTCCTCGTCGGGATCCCGCCCCCGATCGGTTTCCCGCCGACCTACGCGTCCGCCACCGCGCCGTTCGGCTCCGCCCCACCGCCGCCGCCGCTGGGCATTTTCCCGCCGGGGATCCAGCACGCGCCGCCGCCGTTTGCCGCGCCGGGGACGATGCTCGGCATCGATCCGGCCGCCGCGGCCGCCGCTGCGGCGGCGATGTACGGGTACGCGCCGCCGCCCCCGCCGATGCCGATGCCGATGGCCGCGCCGATGATGTCGATGGCGCCGCCGCCGCAGATGGGCGCGCCGCCGCCGCCGCAACTCCCGCCGCGCACATCGGCCGCATTCGCGGCGCCGGGTTTCATGTCCTACGCGCCCAACCCGTACGCGACCCCGCCGTACGCGGCCGCCACGGCCCCGGCCTACGTGCATCCCGGCACGCGCGCCTCTTCCTCCGCGTCGTCGTCGTCCAAGACCAACGACTTCGAAGACGAAAAGGGCGCGATGGTGCTCGGCAACGTCAAGCCCGAGGACCGGCGTGCGGCACGGCGCGCGAAACGCGAGGCGCGGCGCGCGGCGCGGTCGGCCGAACGGAGTGGGAGTGCGGCTGCCCCTGGTGGGGAGCAGCCGAGTTTGCGGCAGGCGGCGCGCGCGTTGGGGAGGATGATGGTGCCGGTGGTCCCGCCGACAACGGCGCACGCGAATCCGTATGCGGCGCAGGCGGCGCCGTCGAGGCCGGCGGCGGCGATGGTGACGCAGGCGGCAACGGAGAGGATGACGCTACCTGCGGTGGCGGAGGTGGTTTCGGTGCCGCAGGTCGTCACGACGGTGGAGACGGTCCCGCAGACGGCCACGGAAATGGTGCCGCAGTCGGTGAGCGAGATCGTCGTGCAGGCGCCGCAGGTGATGCTGGCGCCGCCGGTGCTGAAGTCGCGCGCCGGGTCGGTGCGGTCGGACGTGTCGTCGGCGGTCTCGGAGACGGACAGCGAGTTGGTGGTGGCGATGAGCAAGGTGTCGCTAAGCGGGAAAGATCGTGGCGAGTTACGCCGCAAGGCCGAGCATTGGGCGAAGGTGCGCCGGTTGCGCATGGCGTTGGCGCAGGCGCATGCGGCGCGGATTGGAGCTGCGGATGGGAAGCGCCGGGTGTAGGGAGAGATGCGGAGGAGGAAGGGATGAGGTACGGCATTTTTGGCAATAGTTTTGTGCATTTGATTTGTGATCGCATTTTGGTTGAGACGTGTGGGCACGCGCACGGCGCAGTGAGGATGATCAGGTAACAGCGCTCTGAGGACGACGGGACGATGGAGCTCATCATGGTCAACCGATTATCAGCGAGAACAAATCGTGCGTGAAGTTGTGCGTGCTGAGTGTTCAAAGCTGGCAAGCGCGCGTGCGTGCCGCGATCAGGCTGGCGATCACAGTCGCGATCACATCCATCAAACCTGCGTTGTTCGCTCCAGTTCATTTCCGCAAGCAGCGCAGACACAGTACCTCTCCACCATGCACGACTGCACACCATCCCACTTCATTCTGCGCCGTCCCAAGGTGGTCGCATTCATGAGGTCTTGCCAATCACGGATCGACCCAGTTCGCGGTTCATCTTACGCCATGACTTTGCAACCATGCCTTTTTCGCCGTCCTTGACCATGCTATTCGTCCTCAACCGTGTCATTTGCCCGAAACGATGTCAATCGGCGTTCGAGGGCACTCTTTGCCACGACCACACGCGCGGACGTGGCATCGCGTCACTTCGCGGAATGGTATAAAACCGTCACCCCATCACATCGAGCTCAGCATCTTTGTTCAAGGACGGACCTCGTGGCGTGAGGCTTCGACTGACCAGGGGATTTGCTGGTTGCAAACTGTTCCTTACGCCTTCCACTTCTTCGCTTGCATTCGGATCGCATGCCAAGACGCCCGCAAATAGTGGGGAATTATTGAACCTGATTCAACTCGATTGTTGAATTTGTGTTGGGAACACGGACAGGCAAAAGAACCCGGACCAAACCACGTTGCAGGAGAGCTTACAACATGACAGCTCTTGCTGTCGTGTCGGTTCGTCTTTCCATTCGCAGTGACTGCTGGAACGCATCTCACAATACGGTGCTGGCTGAACACGCGTCGTGGATAAGATGTTTGCACCAGCCAGCCGTTCGATACTCTTCAGACGCTTCATGGCTCAAAATATTTCACGACATTGATGTAGCTGCTTGAGGTGGGGCAAAAGATGTTATCCGCAAGGCAACAAGGACCGCAGAGAGAACTACTTTCGCGACGCAGCCAAAAATTCACGACCTGTGAGTGACTCGAACACCCAGCCTTCTGATCTGGAGTCAGACGCGCTACCATTACGCCAACAGGCCTTGGAGGCGTCGGAGTCGTTACTGTATACAGCCTGTCTCATAGTTGCGGTAGAAATGCATGCCACACCTGTCCGCCTTGTAACAGTGACTCCCGTGCCTTCTCGTGCCTGCTCTGTTTCCACCTTTTGCCGTGCACTGTTTCCAACACCAGCAAATCCTGTCGCTCGCGCTGATCCAGCACTTCCTCGACGTTGATCGCGGCGACCCGCCCGCACTCACCCCGTCCGACTTGCCGCCGCCGCCGCACGGCCGCCGTCCGACCTCCCACCATGCTCGCCGCTGCCGCCACCCGCGCGCCGCGGCGCCTGCTGCACGCAACCGCGGCCTCCTCGTCGTCCGGCGGATTCTGGGCGGCCCTAGCGCAAGCCGCGACCAGTGCAGCAACGCGCAAGCCGCGCGCGACCTCCGACAGCAAGCCCGTCAGCGACGACGCTGATGCCGTCTCGGCCATCTCGGAACTCGCGCGCTCGTCGTCCTCTTCTTCGCCGCGGTCCCCGCGCAGCTTCACCCGCCGCCAGCCCTCGGGCGACAGCGCGCCGTTCCGCCGCGAACCCACCAAGTTCGTGCAGCGTCCGCCGCGGCAACAATCCGCGCGCGGTCCGTCCGAGTCGGACCTGTCGGGCCCGATCACGTTCGAGACGTACCAGCCGACGCCGCTCGCAGAAATGAATTTCGTGTCCGGTAACCCGTGGGCGCGGAATGCGGCCAAGTTGCCGCGCGATACGCACGGCATGTTGACGGACGAGAAGGCGCGCGTGATTCGCGAGTACCTTGGTGGCGAGTACCGCCAGGTGGCGGTGCCCAAGGAGGTGGCGGCCAAGTTGTCGCCCGAGCAGCTGAACACGGCCGAGATGGCGCTGCGCGTGCTGAATGCGAATGCGTCGTACCCGGTCAAGGAGAAGCTGGTCGTGCTGGGCACGGTGCTCGAGGGGATGACGGCGGGGAAGGTCAAGCGCGCCGACGTGCAGCAGCAATAATCCCGTTGCTTTGGTTCCGTTCGTTTTCTGTTCGATTTTTTATTTCCATATACATAGCTGTAATCTCGTCCGTTCCCTCCTCTCACTTGGTCGCGACACAATAATGGTTATCCCGGTCATAACCACTGCGCACGACCGACCCACCCGCGGCGCGCACCTCCTCCTCGAGCTCGCCCTGCTTGTACAGGTGGTAGTACCGCTGATACACCACGTCTTTGCTCCCATCGCGCTCGACGACGGGACCCTTGACCGTCGCGGCCATGCGCGTCGGCAAGTGCCACGGCACATACACGTCCTGGCCAGGGAACTGCCGCTTCGATCCTTGCTCGAGCGCCCACACGTAGACGAGCGCGTGCCCGCCGGGACGCACGACGCGCAGCAGTTCGCGAATGGCAGCGATGCGCCGCGCGGGGGAGGAGAGGTGGTGGATGACGGCGATGGAGATGGCAAAGTCCTGGTGGGTGGAGAGGCATCAGATCCAAAAGCAAGTCGCCACGGGTGGAGGAGGGAGGGGAGCGACGTACAAATCGGTCGGTCGGGCAAGGGACGGCAAGCGCGTCGCCGACAAGACCGTCGAACCCACGGTCACGCACGATCTTGATCAAATTCGCGCTCCTACGTTCATTCGTCGATTGAGAACAAGCTGCAACCGCACTCGCGCTCGGTAACGATCTCCACCACGTACCGATCCACACCCACCGTCCACACGGCACGGTTCACGCCCAAATACTTGCCGTTCCCGCACCCAACATCGCACCCGATACTCCCCGGTTTTTGCTCGAGCAGGAACTGTTCGACGACGGGCCACGGCTACTGCACACATCGCGATTAGCTTTTCACGCCTTGCGATCACTTGCTCGAGCATGCGCGCACCTTGTACCGCGTGCTGCTGAAATGCTCGGCAATATCCTCGTACACTTGGTGCACGGATTCGGCCTCGAGCGCGGCATGGTTGCTGACGGAAGCGAGGTCGACGACGGTCGGAGCGAGCGAGCGCTTGCCGGGCGTGGTTGTCGTGGAAGCGGGCGCCGTGGAGCTGCTGGATGGTGTGGCCGCGCGTGCTTGCGGCTCGGATTGGGTTGCTGGTGGTCGCGGCGGCTGTTGGTCCATGGTTGTCGTGGTCATAATCGTGCCGATTGCGATGTGTTGTGGAAGAAGAGCAGGAGCGAAACGAACAAGTGGTTCGAGGCACTGGAGAGCACCACCCCGCCAGAGACACAACCCGCACAACCGCGCAAAGACTGCAAAACTGGGCCACAACACCAGTCGAAAACTCACCATCAACAGCACCGACCAGCACCACAGCACAGCCGAAACACGACGATATCATTGGCACTCTTTACAAGCCTGGAAAACGCGCTACGGAGACAACCACAAAAGCATCAAGCAAAAAAAAATCCACCGAAAACGAAACGACCCTCGACCCCGATCTGTACACGCCCGCCGCGGCCGCACCGCCGTGACCCGCCCTTACTGCGGCGGCACAAACGGCTCAACGAGCTTCTGCGAAAACTCCTCGATCTCCTTGGCGCCGCGCACTTCCTTGGTGAGCAACGGCAGCTTGACAACGTGGAAGTCCGAGTAGAGCTCGTGAATCTGCTCGAGGTACTTTTGCTGCATCTTGTACCGCACGTTGCAGTGCTCGCACGTCGAGTCCTTTTTCGGGAAGAGCAGTTGGTTGACAATGATGTTGTGCGTGTCGATGTGGTAGGACGTGAGCTCCTGAATCATGCGCTCCGTCTCGTAGAGCGACAGGAACTCGGAAATGCACACGCAGATGAAGGTCGTCTTGTCCTGGATGGATGAGAAGGCGGAGATGGTCAGGTTCGCGGAGTGGAGAGTGGAGAAAATGGGCGAGAGCTGAGCATACCGGGTCCTGGAACTGCTTGTTCACTTCCTGAATCACCTCGCGCATGCCCTCGAGCTTGGCAAACATGTCCTCGGAGTTGCTGTTGATGCCCATCATGCCCGACATTTGCGAGAGCAGCGGCGCAAACCGGCCCGAGAATTGCGAGATCTTGGCCAGCGCCTTTTCGAGGACCGCGGGGAACGACAGGAAACGCAGCGTGTGGCCCGTCGGCGCCGTGTCAAAGACAATGACCGAGTAATCCATGGACTTGACGAGCCTAGCGGTGGATTGCGGGTCAGGAACGGGTTCGAAAGCGAGGTGCGAGATTCAAGAGAAAGAGCGCATACTTCATGACCTCGGCAAACCCCATGGCCTCGTCGACACCGGGAATCGCAAACGCCAGGTCCTGCATCATGCCGTTCATGGCGCCGCCGTCCGGGTCTAGTCGTGAATTGCCGGACGTCAGTATTTCACCCGGCGGTGCGTTTATTGGGCCGCAAGAAAACGCACTCTGGTCCATCATCTCCTGGATCGACGCGTTCGGGTCGATTTCCATGGCAAAGAGGTTGTCGAAGCCATTGATCTTGGTCGGGTCCTTGCCAAACTTTTGGCCAAAGGCGTCCGAGAGGTTGTGCGCCGGGTCGGTCGAGATCAGCAGCACCGACTCGCGCACCTTGGACAGCTGCACGGCCAGCGAGCAACTCGACGTCGTCTTGCCTGGATCGCGCAGGTGCGCAAGCGCAGGGTCAGCGTACGGACACGCGGAGCGTGCGGTTTAGGCAGGTACGGACCGACACCGCCCTTGCCGCCGACGAATATCCACTTGAGCGAGTCCTGCTCGAGCACGTTGCGCAGGTTCGGCTCAAACTCGAGGTCGTCGTAATGGGCCACGGCCATGATGATGTTGCAGGCGGGTTGAACTGGGTGTTTGCGTGCGCGGAGAGCGTGGAGAAGGTGTCGAAATTCGCGACGGGGTCGGTCCGGGTCGACTCGAGTTGAGCGAACCGAAGGAAGCCTGGCGAAGATGGTTGGCCGACACGTTGGCGGCGCGACCATGAAGGGCAGCAGGCGGGCGCGATGGGTCTGGCAGGTTCCAACTCCACCGCACATGCAGGCAAGTTTGACCACGTCAGACGCACGTGCGCAGCGAAGATCGACCTGATCGGCTTGAGCTGCTTCGCCAAGCGTGGCTCCGCCAACCTTCAAGTCGAAAATGGACTTGTGCCGTCGGCACCGACGACGACAACGGCGACGCGCGCTCGCAATCCACCCATTTTTGCACGAACAAGAGCGCTAGAGGGAGCGCAACCGCACGCATACAAATTGCTGCAAGGTCGGCCGACCAACGTTCAAGCACCGACACGCTGCAACTCGGTTCAAGCATCGCAATTTTTCAGCACGATCTGCCAGTGATCCCGACCCAAATTCGTCTTTGATCGCCATGACCTCGCCCAAATCGCGCATCTTGCGTACAACGCACCTGCCACCCGTGCCGGAATTGCCCGCCGACGCCAGCACGGACCGGTCGAAATGGTTCTTGTGTGTCGACGACGGCCGCCAGTGGTGGGAGTACCGGCCCGACGCCAAGGAACCGCAGTCGGACATTGACCGATTCTGGCTCGGCCAGCTGGCGGTGCGCAACGCTGATCTCGTCCAGATCAAATGATTTGCGGACGCTGAGTGCCCACGGACGCGACGAAATAGGAAGACGACGGCGCGCTCGCGGCCCCAAGCACGGTCGCCGGCGCCGTGCGCAACTCAATGCAGTTCCTGAGTCGGCTGCAGACCGAGTCGGGCCACTGGGCGGGCGAGTACGGCGGCCCCATGTTCCTGATCCCGGGCCTCGTGATTGCCTGGTACGTGACAGGCCGGTCCGAGACGCTCCTGCCAACACCCTACCGGATTGAGCTCGTGCAGTACCTGCGGCACCGCGAAGTGCAGCCCAACGGCGGGTGGGGCATCCACATCGAGTCGCCCGCGACCGTGTTTGGCACCGCGCTCAACTATGTTGCGCTGCGCATTCTCGGCGTGCCCGCACACGATCCGGTCTGCGTGCGCGCGCGCAAAGTCCTGCACTCGCTCGGCGGCGCAACGGGCATCCCGTCCTGGGGCAAGTTCTGGCTCGCCGTCATGAACTGCTACGACTGGAATGGGCTCAACCCGATCCCGCCGGA